TTAATTTATTTAAAAGTCGATTCTATATCAGGGCATATGCGCCACTACCTTGGTATAAATGCGCAATACTCGAACAATGATGAAATTGTTGTGATCAATCTTGACACCATAGATACGAAGGGAAAACAAATGGCGGAATACACTAAAAAAATTATTGAAAATTGTTTAGATAAGTTTGGAATCAATAAAACTAATATTTTAGGCCTCAGTGTTGACAACGCGGCAGTAAGTATCATATTTTGAAATTCATCTATATTTTTTTTAAATGAAGAAAAAGTGTAAATTCAATGATTAAAATCAATATTTTCAGTGAATAAAATCATTAAAAAAATAAACTGTTTTGATGTTTGTTAAAATGTCAATAAAATCTTTTATATGCTGTAACGTATATTCACCTAATTTTAAATTAACTATTGAAATCGTATTTAATATATTTAGGTGAATATAAAGTTGGTGCGCGACTTCGGCATCAGCGCCATTGAGGAAATTGACGATGACGAAGGCAATTTTTCAGTAGAAACTGATGAGTTTGACGAAAATGGTAATTCTACAGCGGACAATGCAGCAGCAGTATTGGCAAGTGGAGTTGCCGGTAGCATGAGTGTTATACATCTTCAAAGATGTGCTGTCCACACTTTACAGTTAGCCGTGAATGATGCATTGAAGAGGCCCACAATAAAAAATCTTATTAGTCATGCGAGAAAAGTTGTGAAAACTGCAAGAAATTCTAAATGGATTGACTTCTTCAGGGACCAAGCTACACATCTCGTTCCAATTTTAGATCAGGTTACCCGTTGGTTTAGCCAGTTCAATATGATTGAGAGGCTAATTAAGGTAAGTTATAACTTATAACTTACCTTAATTAATTTTTTTAACTTTAATTAAAACTTAGAAAGTTTTGAATAAAGTTTATAAAACTATTTTTATTTTTTTTATCAACCGGTATTTTTTTTTTTTTTTTTCCAACCGGTATAATATAAATCCAATTATTTCAATATTAATGACATTTACATTACTTAATAATTTTTAAATTTACGTTTTTGTAAATATTTCTTTAATAATCCTCTTCATTTAAGTAGTTAATAACATTGTACATATATTTAATGAATTTTTCTGTTCTTCTAGATTCGACCAGTAATTCAAAATTTGAATATGCAAAAAGAAGCTCCAAAAGAATTTAATGTGCAACCATATCTTTGGGGAATGTGGGAGGAATTGAGAGATATATTGCAAATGGCACGCGATATTCGTCTTCAGCGTGAAAACATCACAGCAGGTGAATTCCTTTTTGATTGGAATTTAATAAAGTGTGAACTAGGCAGGAAGGACAGCGACTTAGCCAAAGATTTCCGGAAAGGAATGGATAATAGAGAAAGCGCACTACGCGAAAATTCGTTATTTCTTGCAGCAGTTTACGTGGATATTAGGCATGGCTGTATGCTGACAGCAACTGAAGACAAGGTTACTTTTTTTAATAAAATTTTATTTATATATATATATACATTTTACTTATTTAACTTTAAAAAGTATATATTCAAAAAACTATAAATGTTTCTATAGATAGCTGCAGGTGATGGACTTTGGTAAATTAATTACAAACTGATTCAACTGGCTAATAAAAATAAGAATGATGAACTGAACAAAACCAAAAATACAATAGTGTCCAACTCTTTAACAGTTCATATTGCAGACTCTAGTTCAGAAAATGAGGAAAATGCTTCACCAGTCGCAAAGTGACGACCGAATTTATTTATGCTGTGTGAACAGGAGATTGAAGAGAATTCTTCAGAAGAACAAATGCAGATTCAGCTAAATGTAATAGAAACGGAGTTTCGACAAGCTCTAAAAACGATTCCGGAAATTCGTTCAATGTTTAAAGACAACTTCCCCAGTCTTAAAAGTTCTCTTTGGAGTTGTATTATTTTCATTAATTTTACTATCCAGCAAATACGGGACAAATTAACTTCTGAGTTTAAGCAACCGAGGCGCAGTGGTAGTGCACTTGCCTAAAAAACTTTTTAAAACTTAACCCATTAAAAGCAATTGAGCGGTTTCCTGAAGTTTTACGGGATGCCTGCCGAGTTGCTTTGTCGCTACCCATATCCCAAGTCAGTGTTGAGCGACTATTTTCAGTCTTAAAGGACATGACTCCAGACCATCGTAGTCGATTTACATCTGAGTTAATTGACGATATACTTTTTTTACGAACAAACGAATTTTTTATTTGAATACTTTTGATGTAGATATTGCAATAATGTTTTCTTGTAACTTTATAATTTAGCGCGTAGTTAATGAAAATATAAGTTTTAATCTTTTTATAATTTTATGATCATATGGTTTAAAATAATCTGAGAAATTGATAAATCTGTGTGTGTGACAATACAAATCAAATAAAAGTTCTCTTTGGAGTTGTATTATTTTCATTAATTTTACTATCCAGCAAATACGGGACAAATTAACTTCTGGGTTTAAGCAACCGAGGCGCAGTGGTAGTGCACTTGCCTAAAAAACAAGGGATCCGTGATTCAAACCCTATTTAGGCAAATTTTGCGACATTGGTTAGAAAGGAGGTCTGAATTTCCTGTTAATTGCTTTTCCGCGGGGCTCTGCGATATTAATGGTAGCCTAAGAATTTTCCGGCATTTTCACGTAAAAATTCTAGATAAAAAAAACCATTTTTTTATCTTAAATTTAATTTAAGAAAAAAATAAAAAATTCCGGAGTCGGAGTCCATGATTTTTGTCGAAGTTCCAGTGATTTTTCGGGAGTCCAGAGTCCCGGAGTCCCGAAAAATCACTGGAACTTCGCATCCCTGATATGTATATATATATATATATATATATATATATATATATATATATAATATATATATATATATATATATATATATATTTATATACACACATAAAACTTTATAAAATTTTAACGTGTTTTATCACAATTTTTTTCATCAAAAAATTGTGATAAAACACGTTAAAACATCTGATTATTTATTTTTTAAGGCGCCTAAATATTTTTTTTCACCCACCATCGAAATTTCTAGAGCCAGGGCTGACTGTACTTAAGATTTCTTAAATTTCTATAAATTATTATACAAATTTTTTAATCAAAATATATTTAAAGAAAAAAAATCTAATTTATACACTTTTTTACTTTAAAAACATAAAACAGTTTAATTATAAAAATCTTAATTATTTTTTTCATTATGTTTTTTTTATTAATTTTCACGCTTTTTACGTTATGTAAGATTTACAGTTTTTCCATCGTAGATTATAATCAAATAAAAAATAAAATTATTTTAGGCCGCTTAACTGCAGAGTTGCATATATATATATATATATATATATATATATATATATATATATATATATATATATATATATATATATATATATATATATATATATATATATATATATATATATATATATATATATATATTTATATACATATATGTATATATATTTATATACATATATGTATATATATATTTATATACATATATGTATATATATATTTATATACATATATATATATATATATATATATATATATATATATATATACATATATGTATATATATATATATATATATATATATATATATATATATATATATATATATATATATATATATATATATATATATATATATATACATCCTGCAAAATTCAGGTTGGTAATGCCAACGCAAAAGCCAACCTATTTTGGCTTCACGCCGGCATGCAACTGCTAACCTAAATCTTTGTAACAAGTAGCAAAAGTAATTTTTTTGTCCACCTGACAAATATTTATTATTTTGATAAATAACAAAATGATAATTTTGAAATAGACAAAATAAAAAAATAAAAACTAAGAAAAATTTAAGAAGATTTTTTCTTATAAAAAAGATGTTCATCAAAGTCTTTTAGATCTTTTTAGTCTAATAGACTCTATAAAATTGCCACATTTTTTTCGACAGAAGCCAAAAAATTTGAATAATGAACTTGTTAAGTGGAAAGCTCAAGAGCCCAAGTATTTTCTTTTGTATTATGGACCATTTGTGTTTTACAAACTTGGTAATGCTGAAATTTTTTCTCTTTATTTAATGCTTTCAACATCTATTTATACATTATCCAAAGAAATTGCTTCATCAAATGATATTGATGCTTGTCAGCAACTTATTTATTTATTTCAAAAGGCATTATGCTCCTATTTCGGTGAAGGTATTCGCACATTCACTTTCCATGCATTAGCGCATCTCTCTGACCAGGTAAAAAATTTTGGGTCTCATACACCAACGTCTGCTATGGTGTTTGAAAATGTAAATCGCCAACTAAAGAGGTCTGTTACAGGAACTAAAGGCCATGGAAGGCAAATGGCTGAAAAATTTATTAGATTTCAAACGGAAGACCACTTAAATACTTTTTCTTTGAATCCTTTTGTGTTAGGTGCAGCACAAAATATATCAGATAAGTTGCGGAATATGGATTTGAATGATTTAAATGTTGACCTAAACCTTTATCAGTTTTATAACCGTTTTAGAGTCGCTGATAGAACTTTTCATGCTTATCATTATGGTAAAAAATTAAAATCAGCTTCATATTATGCATATTTAACAGAATTTAATGTGATTGTGAAAACTTTGTTTATTGCGCATAACCAAAGACAAATCTTGTGTATATGTCGATTGTATAAAAATGTAAGTAAGTTTCATCGTCAAATGGATTCTTTTAATATTCCTATCAAAATCAAGCATGTTTTGTCAAAAATATCTTCTTATTTATTGTTGAAAAAGTGTGGATTAGCTGTTTTTGATTCAAGCAAATTTACTCACTACGCTCTTGTAAAAAAAACAAAGAAATTTTATTTTAGTGTTGTTATTCAAAATAGTTATGAACATGATAAGGTTTTATTTCTATTTTTTAAAGTTTGAAATTGTATTATGTTTTTTTGTATTATTATATATTTACTTGACAATATTTTTTTTTATTAGAAGTTGTTATTTAGGATTCTGTTTGCAATCAATTAATTAATGAAACATCAAACTTAATTCATAATGGCAACAAGAGTTTGTTGTTTACAATGATCTAAATCAGATTTCTTTTTGTACCATTTTGACTTTGTGTAGTGTTTCTTTTAAGAATTAAATAAATTTGTTAAGAGAAAAGAAATCGTATCCACCTGTTATCGCGGATAACAGGTGGATACGAATAATATCTATTAAATTAATTAAATATTTATTTTAGATACAATTATTAATTGTTTTTCGTCAACTGTAAATTTTCCTTTTTTTATATGTATATAAAAATAATATGTGTATATATATGTGTATATATATGTGTATATATATGTGTATATATATATATATATATATATATATATATATATATATATATATATATATATATATATATATATATATATATATATATGTATATATATATATATATGTGTGTGTGTGTGTGTGTGTGTGTGTGTGTGTGTGTGTGTGTGTGTGTGTGTGTGTGTGTGTGTATACACACACGAGGCTTATTTAAATTTTTTTAATTTAACTTAGTTTCATATTTTCATACACTTTTATTTTGAAATTTTAGATCATAATAGCTTTGAAACAATGATAATGAAAGTTTTTTCATCGTTCTAAATTTATGGTAAGTTAAATATGCTTTTTTGTTATAAAATATATGTTATTATGTTGTTGAATTACATTAATATTTTTATAAATTACGTTATAGCTACAGTTATGGTCGTAAAAGATTAAGAAAAATCTTATAGGTGCAATTATTCCACTGACACCTGCGAAATTACCAAAAGAACGCTGTTTATTGTATTTTTTTAAATGTTCTAGTTAAACAATCTAACACTTAATTATTTGTTACTTTTATTATTGTTTTATAAATAAGCGTCCTTATTGCTTAGCGACTAGTTAAGTTATATTATAAGGATTATATTTTCAAGAAGATTCTGTGTTTAAGTAAAAATTATTATTTTTACTTAAACTCGTATATTTCTTGAAAAATAAGCCTACTAATATATCTATGAAATCTTTAAAACTCAAATAATTAAATAAAACCCTAATAAACATATAAATTTAACTAAAAAAACTATTAACTAAAACTAGAAAGTAATACTTAACCGAGAAAAAAAAAACTACTAATCCTGTTAAGTACCTACTAAGTTCCGAGTAAAAACCCTAGTAATACTACTAAGTTTCCTTCTAAAAACTTGCTAATCCTACTAAGTTTCCTACTAAAACTTGCTAATCCTACTAAGTTTCCTACTAAAACCTGCTAATCCTACTAAGTTCCTAGTAAGTACTCGGCGGGAACTTACTAAGTTTTAGTAGGAAACTTATTAGGAACTTAACAGGATTAGCGGGGTTTTTTTTCTCGGGTACAAGACACAAAATAAACTCGTGGGTCAAGGTCAAGGTTCTTTTTTTGTACACCTACGTTTTTTCCCTTTATGTTAGATCTATAATAAAACTTTTGCCTTGGATATTTTGTAAGGATGTTCCTTTTTTTAAAAGCTCGTCTAACAAGCAAGCTGTTAACCCTTGCCCAGATGTTTTTGAGACCTGAACAAATTCAAGAAATTTTCCCTTACCTTTACTTCTTCTCCTGCAACTGCATACACAAACCAAACTATATGTTTTTTTATTCTTTACATATTACGTCAGGAGTTCAGTCAAGATTTAAACAGTAATATAAAATTTTCTGCAGTTCACACAAGATAAATTCAATAACTTTACTGGGAAGAAGACCAAGAAACTCATTTTGAACTTTTTTGCCAAGAATGTACATGATTTTTTTAGGCAGTCACACGACAAAGATGTTCAGAAAGAACAGTGTCAAACTTTGAAATGTCTTCAAAAAGTTTTTAAACGTTTTCATTGTTTTCTTTGAAAACTGTTTCACTTGTTCCACAATTAGCTAATTTTTGAGTACCAAGGAATTGCATAATACAAAGAAAGGAGTTAAAACTAAAGTTTTTGTTTAAAAAAAGACTTTGTACTGTGATTTTATACAGTTTATTTTTTAAGTTGAGAAAAGCCTGAACCTTAACGTGTTTTATTTTTTGTTTGTTATGATTTTAGTTATGGTTAAAAGTACACCCAACACCGAACTTCAAGAAAAGAACATTATAAAAATAGAAAACAATGGTTATTAAGGCTTAACCTATTATCTCTTTAACTTATTTTTATTTTGTATTTATTAACAAAGTTAATTGTAAAAAATTCAATCTTTTATCGTATATTATCTGGAGTTCATACTGATTATCGTTTGGATCTTGTTATTCCAGTCTATAGAAAAATTTAATCATTTCTGATTGGCATTTTTTATAAAAAAAAAACCCAAAGGTTTCTTTTTTTACCACTATGATGACTCAAAAACTTATTCTTTCAAATAATTAACTAACTACTGTAATTATTTTTTTCATTGAAGTCCAGAAGCAGATACATACATAATCAATAGTTTAAAATAAAAACTTTGACGCCCCTTAATTTGAGTTAAATAAACATTTAACTTGATTTAAATAAACAATTAACTCACCAACATTTTCTTTAAATCAAACAAATAAATACTATACTCGATCTAATTATTTTTTCATTGAGGTGCTGAGAAAAAATGTAAAAAATCATTTGTCTAGCATATAAAGTTTGGCGTCCCTAATATGTAAACAACTCGGTACATATATTCATTATGGACGCTAAAAAATATAAGTTTTATTTTTTTTATAATATTTATAAGTTTTATTTTTTTTAAATCGAAATTTTAATGATTTAAAAATAATATTAAAATAAAAACGTTAGCTACGCCAGCGCGATGCCCCAGATGAGCCGGCGCCCTATGCAACCGCATAACTCACATAGCTCTTGCACCGGCCCTGGGGGTAAAGTCTCTAATATTGTCAAAAAAAAATTTATTCAAAAGTCAACCTGGTTCTCAAAAGAAGTTTTCATAGAGATTTAAAAAAAGTATATATTTTCCCTTAAAAATTATTGACAAAAAATTATGTGAAAAAATGCTAAAGACAAAATGTTTCTCAGCATTAATACAAAAAGTTACTTTTATTACAAACAAATAACATGTTTAAATTCTCTATGATTATATATACGCTTCTTTTGAGACCCAGGTTGACATACTTTTGAATAACTTTTTTTTTTTTGACATTATTAGGGACTTTGCCCCAAATACTAAAGATATGAACCCATATTTCTTTACAACTTGATGTGCTGGTGAAAAATGAGTTGCATATTTAAAATCAAAATGAGAAATGCAATACAAAAAACAAATTTTTTGCTCGGTACCAATAAAAAAATTTTATTGACCTGTGTTATAAGCCTAAACTTTATTAACTTTTACTTTTTTTGCACGGCGATTTTTTTTTGATTGATTATCTCCCCCACTTGCTTTGATTTACGAAATTTTCAGATACGGAGATGTAACGAAAACAGTTTATTTTATTTTTACGCGTCAAGTAATTTAATTTTCTTTATTAAAAAATTCATAATGGTTTTTGAATCTTTTTACCGATAAAATAACTTACTATCAAACTCGTGGATAGACTCCATACATGATGCATCTTATGATCTAAAAATTTACACATGGGTTCATAATGGGTATATCTAAAATTCCAGTTTACAAAATATACCTTCTGATGACTGATGTCGTATATATATACGTATTTCATCAAAAACAATGATTTTTATGTCTATTTTGTTTAAAACTATTATTTAACTGTAATTTAGACATATAGTTGTAAACTAGAATTTGAGATCCAATTAAAATTTATCTTTACAATTCTGAACAATTTGTACGATATCTCAAGATTTCGGGTTTCCGGGATCCCGAGATTGCCATCCCGAGGCGGATGCTCTAAACAAGCAAAACTCTAAGCGCAAGACAATTCGTTGCGTTGGTTTCACAAGGTTCGAACTGATTTTTTTAATTCAGGAGAATAACAAATAAATCTTTTGTTCTTTTTTTTTTAATGTCTAAATAAAAATATTTATATGATTCATTTTTGTTTATTTATGCATTTTTATACATCATCAAAAAAAAAAAAAAGAATATATAAACAAATAAAAAAACAATAATATATATAGTTTTAATAAAGCATTAAAGATTTTTTTCTAAATTCTATTATAAAAAATTTCAGTAAGAACTTTGTCAAACAAACACAACGAATTTCAAAGCGGTTAAAAATTGTACTTTGGTTAAAAAATTTAGAAAGCTTGTTTTTGTATTTATACTTAAGATTTATTTCAATTTTTTTCCTTAATTTTTTTTTTTTAACTTTTATGGTTTCATTTTTTTAACTTTAGTATACCTTTTACGGACGATACAAATTCGAAATAATTTTGAGCTTGTTTTTCAAATAGAAGTTTCCGTTACAAAAATAATATTAAAGGTGTTCTTTTCTTGAAAATGTCAACAATTGTTATTATATTTAAATATAATGAAAATAGAAACATATTTTTTAGGTTCCTAATGTTAATGAAAAAAGATTTTTCATAGTTTTATTCATATATTTTGGTTTTATTGCATATATCGATCAATTAAAAAAAAAACTGCAAGTAAAAAAAAAATATGGATTTTATTCCATTTATAATTCTCTCGTCTTTATATATATAATCTTAAGGTTAATCCACAATTTACGTACCGCCAAATTTTAAGCAAACACATCTATACTTTTTTCAGTATTTGTGTACATAAGGTATTGCATCATTAGAGTAGTAGGATTGTATTTTTCGAAAGAGTAGATTGAAAGAAGAGTTATTGTTTTTTTATTATTTATTTAATTTGCCGTTGATAAATATTACAAAAAAGAAATTACAATAAAAGAAAATCCTGGCCGGGGCAAGAAGAAGACAGGTTGTCTTATCACCGAGCCCCGTCACACAAAAATTTACATGCACAATAAATGATAAAAGACAAAAAAACAGTATAAATACAAAAACAAATCAAAAACTTCAGCAATAAAATAATTTGTTGCTAACAATCTTCAAGCAGAATAATTTTAAAAATAAAAAAGTAAAAACGACAAAAAGTCATGAAAGTTATAAAAACACACAAAAAAAATGTGTTGTTTAATTGAAAAAAAAAAAAAAAAAAAAAAAGCAATATACGTAAACATAAGTATTTGGGCTGATTATTTAATATCATCAAAAATATGAACGAAAAAGACAATTTTATTTTCGTTATCTTTTATACTAATGGTTTGAAACCATTTTAATAAAAGCTAAAGAAAGTGTTAAAGATTTAATTTAATTTGGATTGAAAGATTTAATTTAAGTTGGATTGTTTATTTCGAAATGGCTAAGAGTTATGCCAGTGTCGTGGCTCCTGATAGCTTAAAAGAACCTGGTAAAGTTAACCTCGGAATTTTTAAATCTCCATTGCCATCCGTCGACGTTTATCCAGTTTTACTTTGTCGATACGGCGATCTATATTGCAGTGTAGAAGACTTTCTGGATGTTTTATCTAAGAAAAATCTCCTGTATTATGTCTGGGGCATTACCAGACGTTACAACAATCGATATTTTGAGTTTGCGTTAAACAACCCAAGCAAAGTCACGGCTTTTCTCGAAGCAGAGATAATAATAAAGAACGTCTCATTATCCATTACCCAAAAATTTACTAGAAATACTCATGTCTTGGTTCAGAACATTCTGATCGGTCTCTTAGTTAACGGAGGCTCAGCTGTTTTGACAACTCTAGGAAAACATCTAGCTGCCGGCAGAGGTGTTCTCGAATCATTTAACTGTCAAAAAATAAAAGTACATAGCGAAACCATGTTTACTG